CCTTCCTTCCTTCCTTCCTTCCTTCCATTCTCTTCCCCCCTCCTTTCTTTTTCCTTCCCTCCCTCTCCTCCTTCTTCTCTCCCTCCCTCCGCATTGCTGCAACCCTTGTAAAATACAAGCCAGTTCCCAAAACGCCTGAACTTTGGATTTTGCCGTCACCGCCGTAAGTCAGTGGTCATAAATTGTCTTTTTTCAGTGTTTTATTTTTTCAACTGAGCAGTCGCTAAAGGAATGGTTCCTAAGTCGAGGGATATCTGAATGGTTGGCGTGCCTGGTGAAATCCTGCTGCGCCTTCCAAGGGGCTTGCTTGCTTTCAGCGACCAGGGCTTGGCACCAACACCCCGAATTCTCCCCTAAAAGTCCATTGTGTGACCCTCCTCCCCCGCCCCCCCCAGAGCATACAAGAGGTTCTTCCGCTGCTTGTAAAATGGCCTCCTTGTGCGCATCAAGAGGCAATGCCACCCAGGGGTTTTTTCGGCAAGAGAGCCGGGCATCGTGCCAGTCCCGGCGCCAACAGAGACAGCCCTGGCTAACCCTCAACCTTTTTCTCCCCCCTTTTTTCCCCCCCCGGCAGGAGTCTCCTCCGAGTTCCTTGTGAAGACCCGAAACGCCGGCTCGGGGGCCCTCTCGGTCACCATCGACGGGCCCTCCAAGGTGCAGATGGACTGCCAGGAGTGTCCCGAGGGCCACAAGGTCACTTACATGCCCATGGCGCCTGGAAGCTACCTCATTTCCATCAAGTACGGGGGTCCCCAGCACATCGTCGGCAGCCCCTTCAAAGCCAAAGTCACGGGTGAGCGGAGTCATCAACTCGGAGGACGTTTCTGTTTTAGAGTTGCCGTTAACAGGGAAGGGTGAGGAGAGGAGACGGATTTGACGGAGCAGCGCGGGAGTTTAAAACCGGAAGTGCATTCCCTTCTTAGCTTGCAAAGATTGTCACAAAGCGACTGGAATTTCTGCCCAGGGAAATCCCTCATTGGAGAACGTGATCGTTAACTCTCAGCTATGAAGGTGTTTTGGTTGGAGAATATGATTGAGGACACACCCAGAAGGTTGAGGGTGGGGGACAAACATGGTCATAGGGGACAGTGAATCGTGTGTCTCAGAGTCGGCTTCATACAGGTCATGCTGACATGTTCGCTCCTAATAAATCCTTTGGAGTTTTTGAAGTTTGGCTCGAGACTCACAATTTAATTAGGGCAACTGACGGAATCCTGACAGAAATCTCCCGGCTGGGGTTTCAGGGCCCTTGCGGGGACAACACCGACCCCTCTCAGATGACATTCCCATGACCCTCGTCTCAGTTCTGGAGGGTGGGGGGAAGATATTCAGTCCATGCCCAGAGGAATATGGCTGTGCATGTCTGGTCTTGGACACGGCCAGGTTGAGCCTCCGATAAATTACTTGAATATGTTTGACGGCCATTTTGGTCTAGCAGTTGGGACTCTAGGCTGGAAACCTGGAGAATGTGAGTTCCAGTTCTGAAAGGATGACTTTAGGTTAATCACCAGAGGACTGGGAGTTCTAGTTCTGCCTTAGGCATGAAAGCCAGCTAGGTGACTTTGGATCAATCACCAGGAGATGGTGAGTTCTAGTTCCGCCTTCGTCATGAAAGCCGGCTGGGTGACTTTGGTCTAATCACCAGGTGACTGGAAGTTCTAGTTCTGCCTTAGGCATGAAAGCCAGCTAGGTGGCTTTGGATCAATCACCAGGAGATGGTGAGTTCTAGTTCTGCCTTCGTCATGAAAGCCGGCTGGGTGACTTTGGTCTAATCACCAGGTGACTGGAAGTTCTAGTTCTGCCT